GGGGTAGCTGAGACGATTCTGAACAACAATTTCCTTTGCAAAAATGTCGGATGGGGCTTCGTTAAGGAGATATTAAGTGAAAACCCTGACCAATCAGAGCGCGCGTATACCGCTGGAGCGGCCGTGGTAGCGCTAGGCGGCAGCGTCAATGTCCTTCGATGCACGTCGAGTCATTTGTTTGCGTACAAGCGCAGACGCCAGCGCGTTGCCTTCGCTACCACGGCCGCTCCAGCGGTATACGCGCGCTCTGATTGGTCAGGGTTTTCACTTAATATCTCCTTAACGAAGCCCCATCCGACATTTTTGCAAAGGAAATTGTTGTTCAGAATCGTCTCAGCTACCCCTCATTTCCGGCTCCTCCCCGACTTTTGGGACATCCTGTATATACTCAAAAGTGATGGCGGGTTTTTTCGCGCATGCGCGGCGAACACGGCATCAGTGAAGTATACGCGCAACTAAAAAGGGTTATCTAAATTACTCCTGCATAATTTTACAAATATGGAATAAATATAGGGCAATGTACAGGGTGTTCCAAAACTCGCATAGGAGACGGAAATAGAGGTAAACAAAATGTCGGTGGGTGCTTCGTTTTTGAATTATTAACGAAAAACACCGACCAATCACAGAGCCCGATTAGCGCGCGATCAGCTGCGAGAGCATAAACTCGAGCCAGGATTGGCTGGTTGCGCCAGGTCGCTGCGTAGCCAGCTGAGATTAGAATCCTTGAAAGAGCTGATTCAGGGGATGATTTGAAACAATTTTTTCCTTAGCGAAAATATTGTCCGAGGCTTCGTTATGGAAATATTAAGGAAAAACGTCGACCAATCAGAGCGCGAGTATGGCGGTGGAGCGGCCGCGGTAGCGTATGAGCGCGGCCGCCTAGCGCGTAGCCTGCGCCAATCGCAGACGCTCCGCCGGGATACTCGGGCTCTGATTGGTCAGTGTTTTCCGTGAATATTTGTGTAACAAAGCCTCGGACGACATTTTCGCTAAGGAAAAAGTTGTTTCAAATCACCCCCCGAATCACCCCTTTCAAGGACCGCCAACATTTTTCCACATATCCGTAACGTACCGTTCCGTATCCGTACCGTATCAATAACGTGATTGGTCGGGAAGCGCCGCCGCCTCGCGCTCTGATTGGTCAGTGTTTTCCATTAATATCTCCTCAACGAAGCCCTAGACAACATTTTCGCTAAGAAAAAAGTTGTTTCAAATCACCTCCCGAACCATCTCTTTCAAGGTGTTATAACATTTTTGGGACACCCTGTATATTTATCTTTGAATGCTCGAACCTAACCTCCACAACCAACTTACATTAATTACAAGCTTACATAAAAATCATACAAAAAATACATAAAATTATTCAGGTTCGAGCATTTAAGGGAACACATATATATGTTCATTCATGTATACGTCCCTTTAAATGCTCAAACCTAACCTTCACGACTTCCGTTAAAACAAGCCCACACATAACCCAGCTGCACATACATTAACGTATTCTTAGTATTTCTTAATGCAAAGTGCACGCGCAATTCGCTTACAAAAAGTCGAATTGTGCTTTTGTTATTCGTCATTCATCTATCAACGTTACGAAACTTCAGGTGGCGTTAACTTTGCAACTTCAGCCCGATGAATTCTTTCAGTACGCCTCTCATACCACGTTCGCGAGGATCGAGCTAACATTAATTCCTTTCGGAGAACCTGAAAGCAGATTCGTCTGCGTTCGTATTCGAAGTCTTAGTTAAATAGCTGGTCGAATAAAAAGATAGTTGTCGTCGAATAAGAAGATAGTTGATAGTTAAAATGCGCGTACGCGTCGAGAACACGTTGTCTCGAACGTGACACGACCTGACACGCGAAGATGAAAAATCCTCCGCGACGAAAGACGTTTTGAAGTTTCGCTGGCATGCCGTGCGAACGTGCAACATGGATCCTTACGACCAGAACGAAGTCAAGGTTAATCCTCAAATAGGGTGAGTTTTACATTTCGAGGAAACGACGCTTTTCAATTTTTCTCCCGATTAGAAACTAGAAACTAAGCGTGGGGATCGGTTTGGTTTATCTCTGCTGTGGAGTCTATGATCGAGGTTAGAAATCGCGACTCGTAACAGGTCCTGTTTACATTTTTTTTTTTCTTTAAATTCCTAATTCGCGTATCTGCGCCTTTGGAACTTCTCGTTCGTAGAGGTGTCTTGTTATTTTTCGGGCTAGTTACGCCTCGTTTACATTAAAATTTTTGTTCGAATACGATTAGAATTTTTACGCGAACTGGTTGCAATTGCATCGCGACTAACGCAGTGCGCAATAGGCGCAATGCAGTATAGTGGACTCGTACAGTTCGGAAGAAATATGAATTCTGAACGAGTAACTGTTTCTCTTTTTTACTCGTAAAAATGTTTATAATTTCGTCGTATATTTGACGGTGTAAAAATGTTGGAGAATTTGTTGAAATCTCAAGGATTGATAGAGTAACCTCGCTCCTTGAAACAAAATAGATTGTAAAAAATGACGAGCGCGCACGCGCCCCCCAAAACAGGAAGCGAAAGAGTTTGTTTTCTGCTTCGGGGATATACATATATCGTTTCATTTTTCAGGTTTTATTTTTATTTTTTTTTACGATTTTGCGCGTGAACAACGTTACGTTGCATCGTTGAGATAGAACCATTACCAAGGCACAAATACCAGTTCTTATATGCGATGCATATGAATTACATAAAATTGTTTCACTCGTTATTCAATTTAGTTTTTTTATACAGTTCTTATGAGCAATATACATGAATTATATACAATTATTTTATGCATTAGTTAATTTAGCATCGTTTTAAATATTAATGCATTTAATTAAAAAATGCGTTTTTAAGACTAGTCATTCGTCCTATCGCACATACATATATCGAAGGGCGACTCTTGGCATCGATACGAGACAACTCGGCCAAAATCGAGGGATCTCTCGACAAAAATAAGTCGAATGAAATTTTCTTTTCCATAGTATAATATCCGAAGGAAAGTTTTTCGCGTGCTAGCCTTAAAATAATTTATTCGTAATAATTTGTTCGTTGTTCGAAATTTTGTTCGAAACAAGAATTTTATTTTCACTTTCATGGAAGTGGTACAGGAAATTTTAATGGTATTTGGAAGGAATGTAAATGAATGAAGTAAATAATGGAAATAAATAGAAAAAGAAAGGAATATATAAATACGTAAATATTTATGCAATACAGGGTGGCCCAAAAATGTTGGAAGTTCTTGAATGAGGTGGTTCGGGAGATGATTTGAAACAACTTTTTCCTTAGGGAAAATGTTGTCTGAGGCTTCGTTGAGGAGATATTAATGGAAAACACTGACCAATCAGAGCGCGATCCGGCGGCGCTCCCCGACCAATCAGAGCGCGAGTATGCCGATGGAGAGTAGGCTACGCGCTAGGCGGCCGCGCTCATACGCTATCGCGGCCGCTCCACAGGCATACTCGCGCTCTGATTGGTCAGTGTTTTCCGTTAATATCTTTTCAACAAAGCCTCGGGCAACATTTTCGCTAAGGAAAAAGTTGTTTCAAATCATCTCCACTCTGTATATACAGGGTGTCCCAAAAACGTTGTAATACCTTAAAAGAGGTGGTGCCGGAGGTTATTTGAAACAAGTTTTTCCTTAGCGAAAATGTTGTCCGAGGCTTCGTTGAGGAGATATTAATGGAAAACACTGACCAATCAGCGGGCGCTCCATTGGCATACTTTCACTCTGATTGGTCGGGGAGCGCGGCCGCCTCGCGCTCTGATTGGTCGTGGTTTTCTGTTAATATCTCCTCAATGAAGCCTCGGGCAACATTTTCGCTAAGGAAAAACTTGTTCCAAATTACCTCCAGAACCACCTCTTTCAAGGTGTTGCAACATTTTTGGGACACCCTGTATATATAAATACAAATAATATAAATAATATATAATATATATAAATACAAATATAACTTATTTATTCAATATTCTATAGAATATTTAACGGGCAACGAGAATTGGTGATTTGAAATTTCGTGCGCACTTTATGGGGCACAGCCTAACTTGGGTTCTTTTGAAAATATTCAAGATACAGATTTCGTATTTAGATAATTATTTTCTCGTTTATATTTATCCCATTAATAAATGATATTTGCATTTGTATATTCATATTTGTATCGATATATATCGTATTAATAATTTATATTCGTATTTGTGTATATTGTATAAATATTTACGTATTTAAATTATCATTCTCGATGCTCGTTAATTATTCTGTGGAATATCGTTCGATTCCTAGATTTCTTCTAAACACCATTAAAATTCCCTGGAGCACAGTTACGAAAGGAAATGGAAAATTCGTTACTAATAAAAAAGAATATAATATTTTTGTTCGATATTTTTGTCAACAAAATATACAGGATGTTCCAAAAATGTTGTAACACCTTGAAAGGGGTGGTTCGGAAGGTGATTTGAAACAACTTTCTCCTTAGCGAAAATGTTATCCAAGGCTTCGTTAAGGAGTTATTAACAGAAATCACTAACCAATCAGAGCGCGCGTATACGCTAGGCGGCCGCGCTCATAGGCTACCGCGGGCTCCTCACCGGAATTCTCGCGCTCTGATTGGTCAGTATTTTCCGTTAATATCTCTTTAACGAAGCCTCGGAGAATATTTTCGCTAAAGAAAAAGTTGTTTCAAATCACTTCCCGAACCACCTCTTGTTACAACATTACAACATTTTTGGGACACCTTATATATTACGGTTCTCATTGCAGAATAACGCAAGAATACACGCTAACAGAAAATAATGTACGATGATACATAATAATACAAAATAATGATAATGCAAAATAATGCAGCGTAACAAATAATACATAACAAATTATGCGCAACAGAAGCAGGCCTGTCGTGGATCAATTAGTAGACTACGGATGCAGTGCATTTATAGCTAACAAAAATATTGGAAAATCTACGAGAACATCTATGAACAATATAATATACATTCATATATTTATTATATATAATATAATACACATACAATAATATACATTTTACATCTTTAAACAATAAAACGTACTTTTATTTAAAATACGAATTTGCATAAACATCCGCAGTCTAGCAATTATAATAGTAATCGTTCGCGTGGATCAACCTTCCCATCCCTCAAAATATAAAAATTCCCAAGGCCACAGGTACGCAGTCTTTCGTTTCCGTTCTTCTTACGGATAAAGAAGACAGATCCATAGAAGAGTAACAGATAGAAGAACTATAGATACCTATATAGAACTATAGAGTACTATAGGGAACGTTAAGATCAACAGTGGACGATAATAAGGGAATAATAATAGGGTAGAAATTGGCATAGAAATCGCGTAAACACCCGTGGAAATTTAAGCGGGCCATCCCGTGTCCCGAACGCGCATGCTCGTTACACATTTCCGCGGTGAGGGTGGTGGGGGTAGCGCGGCGCGATAGGGTGCCGCGCGAGGCAGGTCAGGGCTGGGGCTCAGTACGTTTGCGTACGTCGTACCGTTCGTTTCGCGCTGCTCGCCTTCGTCCGCGGTTCGTTCGCTCGCCGCTTCTCGTTCCCTTGTGCGTCGAGCTATCCCTCTCCGGGGGTCGTGTACGTATCGGGGAGTGCTGTTCCATCGTCTCAGTGATAACGTAACGCGCGGACTCCTCGCGATGGTGCTACGAGCTTATATAATTGTTGGCGTGCACTGAGAGAGTCGCATACGCGCGTGACACCAGCGGAGCGCGGTGCTGCTCTTTTCGCCGATCTTTTCCCAACTAGCGTTTTCTTTGACTGGCCTCCCTCCTGCTTCGGTACGTATCGCTTTCTCCGTCGCTCTCACGCATCGCTCCCCGGCCCCTTCACCCCCGCCCCCTCACTCACTCACTCACTCTCTCCCCCCCCCCCCCCCCCTCTCTCTCTCTCTCTCTCTCTCTCTCTCTCTCTCTCTCGGACGCGTCCCCGTGCCCTCTTTTCCTCTCCTCCGTATTCTGACAGCTTGGTCGATTCACGAATCCGCCGGGCCGTTCGCTTTTCCCCGGGCCTCTTCAAAATAAGGCCACAGGGGCCACCCTCGCTCGCGAAAAGTGATACCGTTCTTTCCATTCCGCAATCGTAGCAAACCACCGCGAACGAGTTCGATGCTTCGCGTAGAATGTAGCACGTTTTCACCGTCGCCTAGTAAAACTCGGTTCGTAAACAATAAACAAACCGTCTCCGTTGAATTCGCGGAAATGCTCCCAGCGTGTATCCCCCACTCCTTTTTTTTTCTTCTTTGAGATTTAATAAATGTGTAGGAAAAGGGAACGTAGAAAGGGAAAATCGAATTCTAGCTTCTTTTAATGTGGAAATTGCCTTAGGATGATGAGTATATGTTTGTTCAATGTTTACCAATTTATTCCATCGAGTTAGCATTGCATTGGGTTTGTTATGTTGATGTGTGAAAAGGTTATGATGCAGGTATTTAGTTTACGAGTATCTACTTTCTGTTTCGTGGTTATTTGGTCATAGACGCTCTGTGAACCCTTTGATTGAAGCACTGCATCCTTTTGCAAAGATTCAACTCCAATTAGTCTTATTCTATTTGTTTGTGACAAGGTTATGACACAGGTATTTAGTTTACGAATATCTACTTTCTTTTTCATAGTTATTCATTCATAGATGCTCTGCGATCCATTTAATCGAAGCATTCCATCCTTTCGCAAAGATTCAACTCTAATCAGTCTTACTCTATTTGCTTGTAACAAGGTTATGACACAGGTATTCAGTTTACGAATATCTACTTTCTTTTTCATAGTTATTCATTCATAAAATGCTCTGCAATCCTTTTAATTGAAGCACTGCATCCTTTTGCAAAGATTCAACACTAATCAGTCTTATTCTATTTGCTTGTAACAAGGTTATGACACAGGTATTCAGTTTACGAATATTTACTTTCTTTTTCATAGTTACTCATTCATAAAATGCTCTGCAATCCCTTTAATCGAAGCATTGCATCCTTTTGCAAAAATTCAACTCCAATCAGTCTTATTCTATTTGCTTGTGACAAGGTTATGATGCAGGTATTTAGTTTATCTGTGCACTCAGTGCACCAGGAATCATCTAATACCAGAATTAAAATATTATATATTAGAATAATATCTTAGCATACAATTAGTATGTACTTTCTTTTTCATAGTTATTCATTCATAAAATGCTCTGCAATCCCTTTAATCGAAGCATTGCATCCTTTTGCAAAGATTCAACTCCAATCAGTCTTATCCTATTTGTTTGTGACAAGGTTATGACGCAGGTATTTAGTTTTCTGTGCACTCATCAGGAATCGTATAGTACCAGAATTAGAATATATATTATTAGGTCATTCCATAAGTTTGTCCTGGAGACTGAGCCAATATTTAATTAAAAAAAAAAAAACAGAAATTTTATACTGACTGTATAATGGCCATGTCAGAAAAGTGGGAAAATATTGTAAAACAAGAGACTACCTTTTCATAACACACTTAAGGGCATATTTCATAATTTAATTTGAGTAGCAGAAGAATAAGTGGCATGAACTTATGGGACGGCTTAATAGAATAATATTCTAGCATACAATCAGTATGTACTTTCTTTTTCATAGTTATTCATTCATAAAATCGTCTGTGATCGCTTTAAGAGAAGCATTGCATTACTTCGCAAAGATTGTCACTGGTTTTATTATGTTTTTTTCTGTAGAAAGACTATATCGCAAATACAATTCCCAAATTAGAATAGATTCTAGCATACAATCAATACAAACTTTCTTCTTCATACTTATTCATCTATAAAATAAAGCCTTTGAAATAAGAGTATTTTCAGTAGAAGTTTCTTTGTCGTAGCTCAATTTAAAAATAATCACGCTTCTGATGAAACTTTATTACATCTACGCTTTAAATGAGCTACATACAACATTAACATTTATTCAACCTTCCCAAACAATTTGTGAACATACAAACATCTTTTTAAACAACCAATTACTACAAAATTCCATATTCGACTATTGAACGTTACAAAATTCCAACATGTTACTATGAAAAAGAATAAACCATAGCAATTCTATTAGCCTTTAAAAGCGACCTAGTAGAAGAATAATACGACTAGGTACTCCACTCGTGTGGAGTACCTAGTCGATTCATAAAATGAATTCTTCATATAATTTGGCTGTGCTCTGCGATCCCTTTAAGCGAAGCTTGTTTCGCAAAGATTGAACCCTGGTTTGATTTAGTTTGTTTTATCCCTGCGGCTACTTGCTGGTTCTGTTTTGTCCTTACCTGCCTTTGTTTGTTTGTTTCTGACACACAGGTCTGGCATCATATACATATATGTATATATGCAGATTTATTTTCTATTTATTTTGAATTGCTTAAGAAAGCGAGAGCATTGACAAAAAGCGTAGACGAAGCGACTATGGCATCGCACGGGGAAGAAGTAGTAATGATTTTGTTTATATTTTTTGTATTTGCTGACCCTGTCTACGGTTTCACTGGGATGTATCAGTTGGAGTACGCAGCAGCAGCAGAACTGTCAGCCAATAGACACAGATCTACAGCAGAGTCGCATAGCGAGCCCAAAAGCGGAGCAAAATTCTGCGGAGTTGTCCAAAATGACGGATCAACGGGAACAGCAGTCACAGCAACAACAGCAACAACAACACCAGCAACAACATATAAAGAGCAACGAAGAACCAAGGACAAACCTGATCATCAATTACCTTCCGCAGAGCATGACAGAGAAGGACCTGTACAGTTTATTCGTAACCATTGGACCGGTGGAATCTTGTCGTGTCATGAAAGACTACAAAGTTAGTTTCATTCGTAAGAAGAATAATGTCCATTCGAGTTGTACGTTTCTGTATTCATAAATAATTATCTTTTTCTTGTCCAGACGGGGTACAGTTATGGTTTCGGATTTGTTAATTACGCGAAAGCTGAGGATGCAGCCACAGCTATAAACACCTTGAACGGACTGCAGGTTCAGAACAAAAGGTTAAAAGTGTCCTTTGCGAGACCATCAGGAGAGGAGATCAAGGAAACCAATCTCTACGTTACGAATTTACCAAGGTAGCTTTCATGGAGTAGCGCTGTAATTGTGGAAACAATAATTTAAGTTTCTGATATTAATGTACTTTGTTTTTGTTCCAGAAACATAACAGAGAGCCAAATCGATGACATATTCAGCAAATATGGGAACATCGTACAAAAGAACATTTTAAAAGACAAACTCACAGGATTGCCAAGGGGTGTGGCGTTTGTCAGGTACGAAGTGGCTTTCTAATAGTTCCATTTAGCATCGTAGAGCAAATGGTGTGTTAATGAAACGTATAGTTTGCTGGCAAAATGCCATCGTTGTCATAATTGGTTATGTATGACAACCTAGCATATCAAATAAATTAAGATGACATATCTTATATTAAAAATATAAGATAAATAATAAGGGATAATAAAGATAAATATAGGATAAAAATATTGCATAGAGAATGGCTAGTTTCCTTAAATGTTATCAAAGGAGTGGAATCACATGGAACATTGTCCCGATAGAAAATTGGACCACAATAACAGCTGTTGCTAGCAGTTGCATTATGCAACCTCATCCGCTAGAGATAATCTCATCGCGTATTTATTTTCCGTGGATATCTCAGCTGCCAAATTATTTTCGCCGTGTTTTACTCTCATAATCTCGATTTCCACCGACCTACTTAACCACTCGAAACGCGGATTGTGTGTCGCTGTGCTAGTTGTGCTCGTACGAAATAGTACGAGAAGTGTGTCGACCGGCTGGAAATAGAATCCAAACTAGTTTGACAATTTCTCTTGATTTTGGCAGATTTTATGGGCTCGTAACGAGCGCTCCTCTATCACGCTCTAGATCGTTCCCGATGAATCGCGTATTAAAGATCTGGGATCTAGATCTAGAATATTAGGATCGGATGTCTGCCAACGACCAGCGCGGATCCTTTTGACGATTCTTTCGTTTCGTAGATTCGACAAGCGAGAGGAGGCGCAGGAGGCGATCACGCGGTTGCACGGCACGATACCTGAAGGTGGATCGGAGCCACTCAGTGTAAAAATCGCGGAGGAACACGGAAAACAGAAGGCGGCGTACTACGCAGGGTGGCAAGCTGGTTACAACCAGAGTCGAGGTAAGTAGCTTGAATTTCTCACGATAGACTACTAGTCTTGCTTGTATCTCTTTTTCTCTCCAACCTGACAGTAGAAATTGTCACTTCGATCTACAGTAAAACAAACTTACATGATTTAGAGTCACTTGAAGCATTCGCAAGCTTGTATCGATAAGGATTTGGAAGAATTTTTAGCTCGAAGTGCAGATGATTTGAGTTCACTGCTCTTGGTACGGTTTAATGTCATTCGATGTTTAGCATACAGAAAGTGTAGAAAGTATTCGTACACTGATCAATTTCCAAAACAATCTATGTAAAATTGTAATTTATTAACTTGATAAACAATGACATTCTAGATCTTCTCAGAAATCTCTAGAATAGATGGAGTACAAAAAAAAAATAGCTATTTATGTAAAACAATTAATTGATAGAAATATTGAAGCAACAAGTATTCGCACAACATTAATTTATAAGTATATAATACTTCCTTCGTGGGATTTCCTTTTGATTTTATAATTATTGCAACTCTTCTAAGCATTAAATTAACTAAATTATTAGTTACTCGAAATGGGATTTTGTTCCATTCTTCTATTAGAGCCTACATTCTGGTTTCGTTTTTCACTTTCAAATGTAATGAAACGGAAGTGAGTAAATGATCGAAGACGACAGGTTTTAAGCTTGATTACACTATTCACTGAGCTATGGGATTGTGTTAGCATTTGATTAGATTGGTCGCTGAGCTATGAGATTAGTTTTGCATTAATAATAAATTAGTTTTGCCTTTTCTGTATTCTAGTAAGCCGGTTTTCAACCACTGTCGTTCAATCTATGATTGAGGACCTGTAAGTTTTTTAAAAGTACTTTACTGGAAATTTGGTGTTTTCTAATTGGTACGGAGCAATAAACTAATGTGTTTACGTTACAAATTATACTCTAAGCAGAGATGGGCAAAACCCTAGACTTTGAATAAATCTGAAGTTTGCTGATATATTTGTCTTGTTTCCTTTTTTGAAAACTTTCCAAAGAAGGAAACGAGACAAACATATCAGCAAACTTTAGATTTATTCGAAGCCTAGGGTTTTGCTCATCACTGACTCTAAATGGTACGTCATAAGAATCATACAAATACTTATCGCTTCTATAATTTCACAAATTATATTAACTAGTAAATGTTGTTTGGACTATATCCATCTTACAGACTTCTGAGAATATGTAAAATATCATTGATTATAAAAAAAGAAATTAACACTTTATCTATCGGGCTATTTAGAAGCAGCCTTTAATTCGAAAAAGAATTTTCTACAGTAGCATATACCAATCTACGCTGACAATAATTCCTCCATACTGTTACCAGGTACATTGAAAGCCAAGTCTGTTACCAAACACTGAACATTGTTCGTAGACAGCCATCGACACAGTAAATAAATTGTTAAGAAAACTACAACCTCACACAAAAGTCTTTTGGGAAATTGATCGGTGTGCAAATGCATTCTACGCCCACTGTACACAGCATAAATAGCTTTGAAAGTATCTTTGAAAATACCTTTGGAAGTATTTTTGAAACATTGTCTTCCAAACTAGGAAGGTATAACGGAGATTCACGGTTATGTTTAAGAAATAAAATAGAAAGTTTTACTGTAGATGTCGAACGTAGCGTTGGAAAGGTACGGTGATACATCCTCGCGAGGTACATTTTTACTGGCAGGTGTGACTTGCATTTTGGCTTCTGAATTTTTCTTACTAAACTCGTAGCAGTTTAATTATTGTCATTGTTGAAATCGTAGAGGCACCGATACTCGATACATATCCTCTACTCTCCGATCTCCAACTCCATCGTGTTAATATTTTTTTATACGTTCCTTTCTTTCCAAATCGAAGCGGGTAGCCATTTGGATGAATCTCTGTAATGTAGTTGCAAGGTGTACAAATGTTGTATCTCTCACGTGCGCGCTGTTAAAGCTGCAAACGATATTCCAAGTTCGTGTCGCATTCAAAAATCTCTTTTAAACGTTTCAATGAATATAAAAACGGCGGAGAATCGTTTGCAACGTAACAGCGCGAAGGAAGTTGTAAGAAAACATGTCTAACATTGGAATTGTTTGCCAGATATGGCTGCATCTAAGTCAAAGTACAGCGAAGATTGAAAGAGTTGTGCGTTCTAGTGCGAGCGACGTTATGCAGAGCAATTTCCTGCGATTATTGTTAAAGAGACAATTTCTTTTCGCGCCTATACATCTCTCTCTCTCTCTCTCTCTCTCTCTCTCTCTCTCTCTCTCTCTC